AAAACTCATCTGGACATTCAGTAGAATAAAGACCCAAGAAAACAAGGGCCAACAGTCCCTGACTTAAAATAGTTTGAAGGCAATTCTTTTTTTTTACTTTACTCAGTAGGAACTGCACTTCACATATCCAGACTCGCATTCTGTGTTCTACTCTTGGAATGGTATTCAGAAAATTACATGAGCTATCAATCACTTTATTATAAAATGGCCTTCGTATCAGACAATACTGCCCAACTGTAGGCAAATCCAAATGTTCCAAGAACATTTGAGGCAGACTGAGCTAGGATGAGCAATGGGTTGGGTGTGTGCAAGGCATTTTCAACCACCAGGGTTTGTCAGGATCTTCATCCTAACTCGAGGAGCATCTGTATGGGAAACAGGTGCCTTTGAAAGCACCAAGTTGCAGACTATTTCCTGAGACAGTTTTAGCAGGGAAAAGGGAGCGCCTGGGGACTTTGGCTTTAGGGTCACACTGACCACGCTGCATCTTGGTTGGAAGCTGGTCATTTAAAATTTACCAACTGCTTATAAAAGATGAAAGAGGTGGTTGCTCATTCTGCAAGCGCTGGCCACGCAGATGCAAAGAAACTTTCCCTTTGAAGTCAAAGATGATGCTGAGATCCATCATGGTGGCTTTAGCCTGTAATCCCAGCACTTTGGGAGCCTGAAGCAGGAAGATCACAAGGTCAAGCCCAGCCTGGGCAATTTAATGACTTACACATACCCTGGCTTAAAATAAAAATTTAGAAAAAGGGCTGGAGATGTAGTGCAGTATGAAGGGCCTCGTTTCAGTCCTCAATACCTGTTGAGGCATTTAGAGAAAAGGTATTTAGAAAGGCATGAGAAATGAGAAAAGGTATTTAGAAAGACTGATGAGACTCTTTTGGCCTCTTATGCAATGTGCCTCACATCTGTGCCAAACTTCCTATTTTTAAAGCTCTTCTTTACACATCCTGCACCTTACAAGACTTGCAGTACCCTCCATGTACCTGATGACCATGGATAACACCTTGGCTGGAGAGGACCTGGTAAGAAAGTCCAGGCAGATGCTGCTGTACCCAGTTTACCCACAGCGCAGCTGAGCAGGATTACTCTCAGCTGCACGGGAAGTCAGAGACAGCTGCAGCAGGGCGTCCCCTCTGGCCACACTGTTCCAAGAGCTGTTTCACTGTTACAAAAGAATGTCCTCCATTCTTGTGGCTCCCTGTCCCCACCACATGCTGGCTGTTGCTCCCTTTGTCTACTAGGCTGTTAATCCCTGGCCAGAAATTTCCATGTTGGTTCATATTCTGGTTTCCCACATCCCCAGTTGCCAACAGCTAGAGCATCACTCAGAGCAGAGAGAAGATGGCTCAAAGGCAGCTGAACAAAACAGAGTGAGCAGGACATTCCTGGAGCAGGGGTGGAAGCCATCGAAGCCCTGGCCTGCAGGTCCCTTGAAGAGAGGAACTGGGTTTGATTCATCTTGGCCTGAAATGGACACATTCATTCAGTACATGACAAAGCGAAAATCCTCTTCCATAAGCACTTGCTCTTAATCTGTTTGTCTAATCATCATGCACTCACTCTGTGTTCTAAGCATCTTACATGCATGGCATCACTGAGTCTGCAAACAACTCTACTGAGTCAAGATCACAGGATCGTTGTCATCACGGACACTGCACATGGGGTTAAGGAAAGGGTACGCCATCTCTGCTGTCTCCTTCTCAAAACACATAAGCCCAGTGTAATGTAGGAAAACAACAGGCAAATCCAGAGTAAAGGGCAGTCTGCAAAATCCCTCATTGCACCCCTCAAGGTATCCAGATGAAGGAGAACTGTCCCAGAGTAGAGAAGCCTTAGGAGGTGTGGCATCAACATGTGTGTCCTAAGTGGACCCCTGACCAGGAAGGGGACATGGGGAGAAGACCGGTGCAATGGGTACGAGCTGGGAGCGGAGTTCATAGGAGCACAGCGATGGTAGCTCTCTATATTGTTACAGATGCATCTCAGGCAAAAGCTGTTAGCAACAGAGGTGACTGCGTGGAAGATTTACGGGAACTCGCTGTACTGTCTTTGCAACTGTTCTACAAACCTAAAATGACTTTAAATTTTAAAAAGTATTTAAGTAGAAACCATTTGCTAAACAATATCAACCTAAGGTAGGTACTACTTTTGCCCTATCTGATGGGTGAGGAGATGGTCCAGAGGAGTTTGAATCCTCGTCTCCTAGCCTGATTAGCATTCTAGCAATTTCTCAGACCCTGCTCTGGGGCTCCTGTTTACCCCAGGGCTCTTGAGAATCAGATCATGAAAGGAGATCTCGAAGAGATAATTTCTCTGCTTGGAAGCATGAGTGACCCAAATCGCTCAGAGGGAAAGAGGGAAGATGAGTCTGCAAGGTCTGGATGCTGAAAGTCTCACACCATAATTGAATCATTTGAGCACTCCCAGGGAAAAACATCGCGAAATTGATTTAGCAGGATGTTCAGTTACCTCCTCAGAACCCCTGTATGTCTTGGATGCCTGAGTAGCTTGAAAAATGGTTCCAATTCAGTGGGGCCTGGGTGGCAGGAAATCGTCTGGAGTAACCTCTAACACTACCAAACTTTCTGCTCTTCTAAAAAGTCAAAGGCCCACAGCTGCTTCCAATCAGAGAAGCAAACTTTCCATCCAGACGGCCACATTCTCACACATTCCCCTCGCTGGCTCTTCAAAGCGCTGCTCCCTCACCCAGTACAAGGAAAAATACACACACCCTTTCAAGATCTCAAACTGATCTCTCTCTCCTCCTCCCCTCTGTCACTAATGCTGTCATGTCTCTGAATCCTCAGATGCCTTAAGCATTACCCATAGGGATTTCTCAAAAGATCTGGCACTTATATCTGCCCACCAGGCTGCCCCCTGGTAGCATTCCATTTTGTACACATATGTGGCAGGCAGCAACGGAGCCTGGTGGCTGTACCTTCTAAGCATTCTTTCTCCTTCCTCATATGGTAGCTTGGTCTGCACTCCCCATCCATGGGCCAGCTTGAGCCCCCAAGGTTCTGATAGAGGAAATCTCCCTTGCAGTCCTGACTTGATCTCAATTCCAGTGAATGATGGACTCAGAATGGGAGTGTGAGCCAAGCGATTTCATCTTGGCTCTGTCACCAATGGAGGAGAGTCCCGAGTGCTTTGCTACCAGAGGACAGGTGCCTTATGATGTGTCCCAGATGGCTTGCATGGCTTCAGGTCATACCCACTGTGCGGGCTCAGCAGTGTGCTGCCTCTTCCACTCTCGGAGGTGGCCCATGTTGACCAATCACATGACCGTGTGACTTGAGGAATTCACTTTCAGCTGTTGGTGCTCGGCATCCAACTCCTTTCTTCCACACTCACCTTGAATACATCACCATTTCTTCTATAAAAATAGAAACATCCTATAAATACTGCCACACAATTTCTTTTAGGACTTGATCACCCTTCACCACCACACTCACCAATCTACAGAACATCCCATTGGGTGAAAGTATTATCATTTATTTAACACTGACCTCTGGAGGAACACTCAGGTTTGTCCCACTCCGTCACTGTCACAAACAGTGCTGTCTTCCCATAAAAACGTCTCAGTGAGCTTGTAAGCATGTTTCTGCAGGACAGTGTGGACAGGCAATGGACATGGTACTGGAAAGAAAATGTGCAATAAGCTCACCCACTATAAGGTGACCAGAGTGACCGCCACATCTCTCTGCTCATGAGTGGTCACTGCCTGTTGGGACCTTGTGGCTCTCCTGTGAAATCAGAGCACAACACTCACACCTAGTGACACTTTCATGTCCTGGGCTGCAGGCTGGGCCGTGCTTCTGAGTACCTGGAGCTTTGTGTGTATTTAACTCTGCAAAGCAGGGGCAGATACTATCTTCATTTCACAGATGAGAAAACTAAAGGTCAGGAAAGATAAGTAATTTGCCCAAATCATGTAATGATGCATAGAGAAATATGACTTTGGCTTAGTCCTGCCTAAGTCTTGAGCCTGGGTGCCTCCAACATTGCATGCCATCAGTTATTTGCCTAGAGATGGGTACCTTGTCACAATCCACTCTACCCCCAAGGTGCTCTGTTAACGTCATTTCCACAATAACTGATTGGAAGTCAGAGGACTTTGTGTGAGGTTGCATAAAAACTTTTCTTCATCTGGTCTGAATTATTATGAAATCAGGGTTATGTTGATATTTTTCATACCGTACTAGGAGGACAGTGATTATTTTGCTTTATTCATTTATTTTCTTTTGCTATCAACTTCAGCTACTAAATCCTCTTCAGTCTAACCTTCCTGATCTTCCTAAAATTGCACAGGATGAGGAGGACTTGGTGTTTCCTGAGCAAGTCAGTTCCTCAGGGATGGGTCAGACAGCCTCACAGGCAGAGGAGACCTCCAGGGCCTTTGTTATTGGGCTTGTTTTGTACATGACATTTGCCTCAGTGGGGAAAACTTATTTCTGTATCTGACGCTCTCACCTGCACACCTCCATAAGCTCTTTCATAAACTGGATTCAAGCTGAAGCCAGTAACACCAGTTGTGTCTTCCTGTGCTGTCATCCCTCGTCCTCAGCCACCTGCCCTGACTCTAACACATAAGGGAAGCAACTAAAGGCTGCAATCCAACTTGGCTTCACCATCCTCCCACTCTTGTTCCCACCTTGTGGCTTCCTTTTAAGACTTCTCTTAGGGCTGCTGAGCAGCAGCGATGAGCTCTGTCCCTCAGAGATGGCTGACCACTACATTTGACCTATTGTTTGTGGTACGTAAAGATAGTGCTTACAACTCTCTCCTTAGCAGTCACCAGCATCACCCTAGAGCATGTCTATGAGGCGGTGGGAAACTTTTGCAAACCAAATTAGAGGTGCAAAGGAGGGCTCTGCATGCAGAGAGTATGGCCACACCACCCAATCACTTCTTGGTCTAGGAGGTACCACGGACTGAGTTGAGGAACCGGGGGCAGAATAAACTCAACCATGCTTCTGCGGTCTCTCTTCCAGGTGGAAAGTTGCCCTAGGGTGTTAGCAAACTGAGACACCCAGCAGATTCCAGGCACAAACACACTGGAGACCTTCCCCATGCCACACCTGGAGCCCAAGGCCACCTGGGATGCAGACAGGATGAACGGGTGGAACCACACCAGGAAATGTTCTCTAGGAGTGCATCAGAACTGTTAAGGTAAACACCCAACAACAGCATGGCTCATAATGGCATCTAACTTAATAGGAGAAATTAAGGAAGCAGGCAAGATAGAGAACAAGATCATTTATGTGAATTTAAAATGTGTGCAAAAAATTAATCTAGATTAACTGGAGTCAGAAACTGGAGAGGGGATGAGAGAGATTTCTGGGTTCTGAAAGTTTTTGGTTTTTTTTAATATAAACCTTAGTATACCTGTATCCTGTGACTGGCATCTTTAATTCTTTCAGAAAGATACCTAGAAGGGGAATAGCTGGGTCAAAGGGAATTTCTAATTTTAGTTTTTTGAGGAATCTCCATAATGATTTCCTCAGTGGTTATACTAGTTTATACTCTCACCAACAATTTAGAAGGAATGCTTTTTTCCCTACAGCCTAGCCAGAATTTGTTATTTGATTTCTTGGCATTCTTTTGGAGGCAGGGTGGAATCTCACTGTTGTTTTAAAATGCATTTGTCTAATGGACAGTGATATTGAATATTTTTTCATGTATTTATTGGCCATTTGTACTTCATTTGAGAATCAGTTGCCCATTTTTGTACTGTGTCTTTTATATTGGGGGTCTAATTTTGTTAAACTTTTTAATATAGTCTAGATATTAGTCCTCTGTCCAAAGAGTAGCTGGAAAACATTTTTCTCAAGCTGGAGGTTGAATCATCATGCTATTGTTTTCTTTGTTGCACAGAAGTTTTTATTTATTTTTAAAATTAATTTTATTGGTGCATATTAGGTATACAGTATGACATTCATCATTGGAAATTTGCAACTTTACATAATCTCTCGTCATTCTTATTTTTTCCCCATTCTCCTGCCCTCCCTTCAATCCCTCCATCCCTCCCTATTTACAAAGACTTTGTTTCCATTTTTTATTTTCTCATATTAACTCCATTCCCCTTTTTCCTTTCCCCTACCCCTCCCACTTCCCCTTCCCCTTTGCCCCTTTTCTTCCTATTTCACATTATCTATTATACCTTTTAGT